TATATATATATACATATATATAACACACTGGCGTATTGAACTTGTTTTTATAACATCTGTACACAATAATTTACCAACCATCCCGGATAATCTCAAATGATACAATAAAAAAAGTTTATCCATTACCCGTGATATTTACCCAGTACCTATACCTGCAAAGGTGGAGAGAATATTCGATTTTTATAGAACTCCATTGTCAAAAATTACATGCCGATGGTGTATATACGTATATGTATATATTCCTTCGAGAACAACGTGAGCTTGAATTACATTGAACGGGCATTCAATAAGTCCTTACTTATACTTTGATCACAAGTGCATCCTCGGCTTGGCGATTTCTATTTCAGTCGTCGTTGCAGCCGATGAAAATGCTTTTCTCTTCCTCTTTCCTTAAATTATTCTCTCTCTCTCTCTCTCTCTCTCTCTCTCTCATTCTCTGCCTTCTTTACACGCAAATACTCAGCACAGATGGTACTCTATATATATATATATATTTATATAATTATGGATAAAAATAAAAAATAAAAATTACATGGTGTGAAAATGTTGGTATGACAAATATTGGACAAACGTTGGCGGACGGACACATGGAAGCACTTGTTAGTTGGTGAAAATTGAAAATATACTACCCACATCATATGATGATATTTGTAAGCGATGATGATGATGATGATGATGATGATGATGATGATGACGATGTGTATTTTCTGCAGACGTACTCGGGCTTGTTCTGCGTGGTCGTCAATCCGTACAAGAAGCTGCCGATCTACACGGAAAAAATCATGGAGAGGTACAAAGGCATCAAAAGACACGAGGTGCCGCCCCACGTGTTTGCCATTACCGATTCAGCCTATCGTTCCATGCTTCAAGGTGATTATAATTTTTTTTCGAGTATTTCACAAAATTGTTGCAAATTTACTTTTTCCGTGTTTTAGTTGCAAAACATTGCTATACTTATATGTATAACTGCAGTACTTCGTAGGTACCATGTAATGCATTAAATTACTATTCATGAATATCCATTTTATATTAGGGCTGTCGAGTGCCGATGGTATGATTTCTCTTTGTCTGTTGTTACGTGCACGTGGAAAATTGTTCTCGTAAATCCTGGGACAACCTTGCACGGGACTTAATTATTATTCCAGTGGAGAACAAAAAAATTGCTCGGCATTATATTGTAATGTATGGAGCTGTGATGATGATGATGATGTTGATGATGATTGCAGATCGCGAGGACCAGTCGATCCTGTGTACGGGCGAGTCTGGCGCCGGCAAGACGGAAAACACAAAGAAAGTCATCCAGTACTTGGCTTACGTCGCAGCTTCGAAGCCAAAATCAAACGCGGTAAGTGATATCATAATGTGTGTGTGTGTGTGTGTGTGTGTGTGTGTGTGTGCTGGCTGTTGGAGCGATCGAGCGTTAACGGCAAGGTGACATACATGCGAGTGAACCATCAGTGTTTGTATAGTACATACACGCGCGTTATATATTATTATGTCGGCCCTTGTACGGTCATGTGTATCCCGCAAAGAGCGAAAAAAAAGTCAACCCTACCGTCTATGGGTGTTGCTGCTTCTGAGGTGTATAATACACTTTCGTGATCGGATTAAAAAATTTTTTTTTATTTAAATTTTCAAGTCGTGGAGTTATTAATTTTTCACAAATTTTTTATTTTACCCCGAGGTGGTTACCAGGGAGGGCTCGTAAATCATCGTATAGTAGCGGAGGTAGAAAGCGCAACTTACGCCTGCGTACGCTTTATGGGGACAACAGCAAGAACTGTTGAGATAACAACCCGGGAACTGGTGAATTATTCATCTCTCGCGGCGAAAATTAATAAGATACCTGAGAGCTCGATTAATTTGCATCTGTGGAAAGGAAAAAAAAAAAAAAAGAAACTTTCAACCTACTGTGAAATGTCGCTCAACGTCTTATCAAAATCCGAGTAAGTAATAGCATAGGTGCACAAAAAGGCCCTAGGGTCTGCATCATGCACGTACAACAACAAAAAGAACTAAAAAATAATAATAATGATAATAAGCAATGCAAAAGCAGCCGCATTAATACGCGCGTTCTCGCGGAGGAGTCGAATTACCCTCTCGGTCTTTCTTCTCTTCTCGACGTCCCTCTCTCTTCCTTTCTCTATTTATTCTGCCCAATGAGTGAAATTCGAGTAAAGCCTACTACTCGTGACTCGTGAACGGTCAACGACGTCGTCGCATACTCATACCTACTTATTTATATGTATTCGCACATGCGCGATCTACGTATATACATATATATTATAGACAACGACCTACGCTCTCTGGCATGAGCGCAGCACCATACATTACCCTCGCCGTTTCCGCAGCCCCGTTTTTTTTCTCAAGAGTGCACATTCTCTGCCGGGGCGCGAGCCGATTTATCGAAACAAGTTTCCGACTTCCTCGTGGTTCGGTGTTGGGCATGTTGAATATTATATATACATTTCAGGCCCTCGTCTGTGAGCAGATGTATTTACCACTCGCGAAGAAAAAATATCTAGTATAGGGAAAAAAAAAGGGAGATATTGTTTTGACGTTGGTGTGTGTCAAATGTACGTGCTCGCATGGGTGTGCACCGCAGGTGGTAAATATTAATACTTATCAAACAAACGAAAGACGCGTTGATGTTCCCATCCATCTAACGATATTTTTTTTCCGCTAATCCGTTTTGCAATAGTAGACGCGTTGGAAGCGACGTGGATATTTATATTTTTTTTTTCCTACGGACTCTTGAATGAAAGCATATTAAAATGCGAAAGCTGCAATGAAGCTCCTTTTTATGTAATATTTATTCTGTCGAGCTGATAGCAATGAAAGAAAATGGCTTCTCGCCCGAGTATTTTGTATTTTCATCGGAAAATCGGAGTGAAATTTCGCGCCAGCGATCAAACAGCCTCAACGTAGTTCTCGAGCTTCTGTACAACGTATCGAAAGAGACGATGGAAACGGATGGAAAAATGAAAAAAAGGAGGTGAGCGAGCGAAGGCATCAGGGGCAAAAAAAAGGAGAGCGTCTTGATTAAGCCAATCGATTTACGACTCCCTTGTACACTCGCGAAAATTGCGCTCGAGATTCTATTTTTACAGCTCTTGAGGCCTCGTAGTGGCTCTCTTTTTCTTTCCCCACTCCTCTCGGTATGAGTGTCCGTGCGAACAGCAAAAAAGCGCGTCAATTATACCCATAACATGGTCGGGGTAGAGAAAAAAAAAAAACAGAAACCTGTTGTATATATAATATACAATGATACACGAAACAACCCTTAAGGTCGTTAACCTGTCCGTTTCCAGCACCAGCTTATTATTGTACTTGCCTCTTACGAGCACTTGTCCACGATTTGGTTTTTCATTGTCAAGGTGTACACGCACACACGCACACAGAGACACGCGCAGGACCATTTTTTTATAGCCATTGTACGTAGTCGCTTTGTAAAATCGACCGATGTCGTCATCGCGTCATGTGAATGTTCACGGCAATATAATATTCTATTGTTGTAATGTCTTTGGGGTGTTGGGTATATGTGCACGCGTGTCCAACATGAGAAAGGTGGCAATGCACGGCATCGTAGGGAATGATTGGCGATTCTTCGAGCAGCAGCCGCCGATCGATCAGTTAGCGCCTATTGATTTAGATTGCCGCGCTTATGTTTTGTTTTCTACGAATGTCATCGTGAACATTCACATGAACGCGGCGCTGCTCCAGCACATTGTATACTTTATACAGTTAATTATGAATACCCTGTTAGGAGCAACAACATTTTGATAATAACGAGGAATTACAGTGTTTTTCCAAACAATGGTCCCTCGAAACTTTTTGAGTGGATGAACATTAAAAGTACCGATTTTTTCTTCTTTTTTTTCTTGGTGTTTTTCTCAATGCTGATTTGTGATATGCCGACGGGTCCGTGCCTTCTCCTTCTAGTCTCCGAGTCCGGCACTAATAATAGTAAGTCAACGCAAAAACACACACAAAACTTGTCCAATCATCACATTTTCATATCTCATTAATACACATCTTTTTTTGTTTTTTGTTTAATCACTACTTACTCAATGAATAAAAAAAAAAAAAAAAAAAAAAAAGATCATTAAATAACATCACAATGTTACCACGTATGCTTTATTCTTTTTGCATTTATTAATAATAATAAGAATGATGATGATGATGATTTATATCTTAATACATTAATTTTTCTGCAGTACTAACAAACAAACAAACACAGCCTAATAGGTTTTGGGTTCTTCATATACATACATTTTAACACATACGTATTTTATGCAATTAGTGCCTTATATACCCAATAACGTGTTCGTCGGGAGTGAAAAAGTAGATTTTTTAAAGAAATACATCCTTTTAAAAGTCAAGTATAACTACATACATTGAGAAATTCTTTTATTCGGACAACGTGTTTTGCTCGCGCTTGTGTTTGCTCAACGATTACGTCTATATATATATATATATATATATATACATCTGTATACAATTTTTTTTTATATACANATGTACGAGTCAGAGGATTTTCTTTCAAATAAGAAAAAAAAAACTGTTTTCTAGGCGGTTATCTTACTAAAATAGGTTTTTTTTTATTTTATGTAATTAATGTTCACGATACAGATGAACATAAAATTTACTTCTCAACGGAGTGACGTAAGAATACACAGGTGAATTTAGTTACTTTGATTACAATTCTTGAACAGAATTCAGCGCAAAGTACCAAAGTGAGAGTGATGACTTGTTACGGAAATAGTTTTGAAAAACAACTACACTAAAATCTGTTAATTTGGAAAAATAGTTTTTCCTTTCTCAAAAAAAAAAAAAAAAAAACGCACAACACTCTTGGCTTGGCTCGCCTTTTATATTCTATCTGTCGGCTTGCGTGTATATAAAACACCACCACAACCTACTGCCTGTGTATACACATAATATACATGCATATCTGCGATTCAACTACACGTTCTGGTGGCTGACGAGCAGAACAGCTCTGGGACTGGTACCGACAAATTTGCGGTAATTAAACTAACTAACCAGCGTGCTTTTCCCTATACCTTTTTTTCCTTCTTAATCTTCAAATATTGATCGCTGTTGTGTCGACCCGCTTTTTTTAAAATCATATACCTATTGGCCTTGTGTAAATAATTGAGCTGGATTAACTTTTGCATTTAATCTGCACTCTACTTTCGTACGTATATATTTTTCATCCATGTTGTGTATGTTTAAGCGCAAAGTACCTACCTACAATATCTCGGCTTTTTCATTTCTCTCATGTGTATATTCGTGTGGCATTGCGTCATTGTTCGTCATAAAAAATCTAACACTGAAAATCTTGCATCCATACCTCGATATTTTTTTTTTTTTTTTTCAACAACTGCTCGGAAAAGATTGAATGTGGTGCACTGTTTGAACGTTAACTCGTGCGCGCATTCTCTATTCCCGCCCAAATCGACTGCCTGATAATCGTCCCTCTCTCATCGTCATGAATGTATGTATAATAATATATATGTAACACAATTTTTTTCTGCCTGCTTGTATACCTATATTATGTGTCAGATGTTGCAAAATCGTCGTTGGTGGCCTGCAAGAGTAGTGCCTCGCATTATAACATCTCTCATGCGCCAACGACGACTATTCGCATTATTCGCCATTGGAATTTGAATTTTTTTTCAATTTAATTATTTTATATATGCATACATATATTTTTCACGTCACCTACTTTCTCCTGCTCCATTTGTCATTATTAATTTATCGTCGTCTCTTTTCGTGAAAATTTTCATTCTTCGTATTGCATACCGCGATATTTATTTACATGACGATTAAAATTTTACCAATACTTACAGGGTGAACTCGAGCAGCAGCTCCTTCAGGCCAATCCGATCCTCGAAGCCTTTGGTAACGCCAAGACAGTCAAGAATGACAACTCGTCCCGTTTCGTAAGTCCACCAATGTCCGATTAAAGTATAAAATGTCAGCTCCCCGATAATTTCTTCATTCGATTTTTCTGCCTATTGCACAGGGTAAATTTATCAGGATCAACTTTGACGCGTCGGGCTACATCGCCGGTGCCAACATCGAGACGTACCTCCTCGAGAAGTCGCGCGCCATTCGCCAGGCAAAGGACGAGCGCACCTTCCACATATTCTACCAGCTCCTGTCTGGCGCCTCTCCCGAGCAAAAGAAAGAATTTATTCTCGAGGACCCGAAACTCTATCCTTTCCTGTCCAATGGCGCCCTACCGGTGCCGGGTGTCGACGACACTGTCGAATTTCACGCCACGGTCAAGGCCATGCACATCATGGGCATGACCAATGAGGACTTTTCCTCCATCTTCCGTATCGTCTCGGCTGTCATGCTCTTTGGCTCGATGCAGTTCAAGCAGGAGCGGAACTCTGACCAGGCGACGTTGCCCGACAACACGGTCGCCCAGAAGATATCGCACCTCCTGGGGCTGAACGTCGTCGAGATGACCAAGGCTTTCCTCAAGCCGCGTATCAAGGTTGGCCGGGATTTCGTCACAAAGGCGCAGACCAAGGAACAGGTCGAGTTCGCCGTCGAGGCGATATCCAAGGCTTGCTACGAGCGTATGTTCCGCTGGCTCGTCAATCGCATCAATCGCTCGTTGGACAGAACCAAGCGCCAAGGTGCCAGTTTCATCGGGATCCTCGACATGGCGGGTTTCGAGATCTTCGAGCTCAACTCGTTCGAGCAGCTCTGCATCAATTACACAAACGAGAAGCTCCAGCAGCTCTTCAACCACACTATGTTTATACTCGAGCAAGAGGAGTACCAGCGTGAGGGCATCGAGTGGAAGTTTATTGATTTCGGCCTCGATCTTCAGCCAACGATTGATCTAATCGACAAGCCCATGGGTATAATGGCCCTGTTGGACGAGGAGTGCTGGTTTCCCAAGGCGACCGACAAAACCTTTGTGGAGAAACTCATGGGGGCTCACAGCGTGCATCCCAAGTTCATGAAGACGGACTTCCGAGGCGTGGCTGATTTTGCCATCATCCATTACGCCGGCAAAGTCGACTACTCGGCCGACAAGTGGCTCATGAAGAACATGGATCCGCTCAACGAAAACGTCGTCAGTCTGCTCCAGGTTTCCCAGGACCCGTTCGTCTGCCACATCTGGAAGGACGCGGAGATCGTTGGTATGGCTCAGCAAGCGCTAACCGACACCCAATTTGGCGCCCGCACGCGCAAGGGCATGTTCAGAACCGTGTCTCAATTATACAAGGAACAGCTCGCCAAGCTCATGGTCACGCTGCGCAATACAAATCCCAATTTCGTAAGGTGTATCATTCCGAACCACGAGAAGAGAGCCGGAAAAATCGACGCGCCGCTCGTTCTCGATCAACTCAGGTGCAATGGCGTGCTTGAAGGCATCAGAATATGCAGACAGGGCTTCCCCAACAGAATACCCTTCCAGGAGTTCAGGCAGAGATACGAGCTGCTCACTCCCAGTGTCATTCCCAAGGGCTTCATGGATGGCAAGAAGGCCTGCGAAAATATGGTATGCGTCATCTCTTTGAACCCCCTCCCCCTTTATTTTTCTTTCTCGATCAAAAGCTCAGCAACGTTTTTTTTTATAGATCAAATCTTTAGAACTGGATCCAAATCTGTACAGAGTAGGACAGTCCAAGATATTTTTCCGAGCTGGTGTCTTGGCCCACTTGGAAGAGGAGCGTGATTACAAGATAACGGATCTGATAGTCAATTTTCAGGCTTTCTGCCGTGGTTATCTCGCGAGGCGCAATTATCAAAAGCGCTTGCAACAGCTCAACGCTATTCGCATAATCCAGAGAAACTGCGCTGCTTACCTGAAATTACGCAATTGGCAGTGGTGGCGCTTGTACACCAAGGTTAAGCCTTTACTGGAAGTTACAAAGCAAGAGGAGAAGCTCACTCAGAAAGAAGACGAGTTGAAGCAGGTAATTGTCGAACTGCAAGAAAAATTCTTCATTCGTCATTTTGAATCGTAATACTTACAAAATTATTTCTTATGTCACAGGTTCGGGATAAACTTGAAATGCAATTGCACTCCGCTCAAGAGTATGAGCGCAAGTATCAGCAAGCCATCGAAGAGAAAACGATGCTTGCCGAGCAGTTGCAAGCTGAAGTTGAGCTTTGTGCTGAAGCCGAAGAATCGCGCGCCAGATTATCAGCCAGAAAACAAGAACTGGAGGAGATTTTGCACGATCTGGAAGTTAGAATCGAGGAGGAAGAAGAACGCAATATTGCTTTGGTGCAAGAGAAGAAAAAATTGCAGCTGAACATCAGCGATTTGGAAGAGCAGCTCGAGGAGGAGGAAGCAACGAGACAAAAGTTGCAGCTCGAAAAAGTCCAGTGTGACGGAAAAATTAAAAAATTGGAAGAGGATTTGGCTCAATCCGATGACACGAATCAAAAACTACTCAAGGAAAAGAAAATGCTGGAAGAAAGATCTAATGATCTTTCGCAAGCTTTGGCCGAAGAAGAGGAGAAGGCTAAACACTTGGCCAAGCTGAAAACAAAGCACGAGGCGACGATAGCTGATCTCGAGGAGAGATTGCTCAAGGACCACCAGCAACGTCAGGAGGTTGACAGATCCAAAAGAAAGGTCGAGACTGAAGTGTCTGATTTAAAGGAACAACTGGCTGAGAAAAAAGCACAGTTGGAAGAATTACAGTTGCTATTAGGCAAACGCGAGGAAGAGCTTACCCAGGCTTTGACGAAAATCGACGAGGAAAGTGCCGCCAAGGCACAATCCCAGAAGGCCCTGCGGGAACTAGAATCTCAGCTGGTGGAGCTTCAAGAGGATCTTGAAGTCGAGAAAGTAGCGAGAAGTAAGGCCGAGAAGCTTAAGCGCGACCTCAATGAAGAACTTGAGGCCCTGAAAAACGAACTCCTCGACTCACTGGACTCTACAGCTGCCCAACAAGAGCTCCGCAGCAAGCGTGAACAGGAACTAGCCACGCTCAAGAGAAACCTCGAAGAGGAGACCTCAGTGCATGAAGCTACCCTCCAAGACATGCGACACAAGCACACCCAGGAGCTCACGACCATTAACGAGCAGATGGACGCTCTCAAGAAAGCGAAGGCTGCTCTCGAGAAGGCCAAAGCTGCCCTTGAAGTTGAGAACTCGGAGCTGACGACTGAGTTACGTTCGGTGAACGCTAGTAGACAGGAGTCGGACCGTCGACGCAAACAGGCGGAACAGCAAATGGTTGAGATCAATGCCAAGCTTGTCGAGATAGAGAACGTCAGGCAAGAGCTCATGGAGAAGGTTGCCAAGCTTCAAAATGAAGCTGAGAACATGTCGCAGCAACTCGAGACTGCCGAACTCAAGGCTTCTGCTGCTATGAAGGCCTCGACTACTTGCGAATCACAGTTTTCTGAACTCCAGCAGCAGCTTGAAGAGGAGACCAAGCAAAAGCTCGCACTCAGCTCTAAACTCAGGGCTCTTGAAAGCGACAAGGAAGCTCTTCGCGACCAGCTTGACGAAGAGGAAGAAGCCAAGCGTGCTCTAGAAAAACAAATCTTGGCTTTGAACATTCAGGTATCAGTAATTGGTTTTTTTTTCCTTTTTTATAGAAATTTTTTTTCTGTTTGTAGTACGTAAAAAAACACTTGTTTTTTTTTTTTTTTTTTTTTTTTTTAGTATACCGAAGCAAAGAAACGCTCAGATGAGGAGAGCGAAGCTGCAGCAGCTCTGGAGGAGGCTCGCAAGCGGCTCGTCAAAGATATCGAAGCTCTACAGCGCCAAGTAGAAGAATTGCAGGCTGCAAACGAGAAACTCGATAAATCGAAGAAAAAGATCCAGGCCGAACTAGAAGACAGCACGATCGAACTAGACCTGCAGCGAGCCAAGGTTATCGAGCTCGAGAAGAAACAGAAAAACTTTGACAAAGTTCTGATGGAGGAGAAGGCCATCTCGATGCAATACGCAGAGCTTCGTGATGCTGCTGAGCGAGAAGCCCGTGAAAAGGAAACTAAAGTGCTATCTTTAACTCGCGAACTCGACGAAATGAACGACAAGGTTGAGGAGCTGGAGCGTGGACGCAAAAGTTTGCAAGCCGAGCTCGATGAACTCGTCAATAATCAGGGTACTGCTGACAAGAACGTACATGAGCTCGAGAAGGCTAAGCGTCTACTCGAATCGAAGATCGCGGAACAACAGGCTCAGGTCGAGGAGCTCGAGGACGAGTTGCAGTGTACCGAGGATGCCAAACTCAGACTCGAAGTCAACATGCAGGCTCAAAAGACGCAAAACGAGCGCGACCTCCAGGCCAAGGAAGAGCAGGCCGAAGAGAAACGGCGTGGCCTGATCAAACAGCTCCGCGACTTGGAAGCCGAACTGGAAGACGAGAGAAAGCAGCGCTCGGCTGCGATAGCACAACGCAAGAAGATCGAAGCCGATTACAAGGACATGGAGCAGCAGCTTGAGATGCACAACAAGGTCAAAGAGGACGCGCTTAAGCAGCTAAAGAAGCTTCAGACGCAGATCAAGGACTGCACGCGCGAGACCGAGGAAGCGAGAGCAGCCAGGGATGAGTTGGCTGCTGCAGCCAAGGAGGTCGAGCGCAAGGTAAAAGGTCTCGAGGCTGACAATATGCAGCTCACGGAAGATTTGACCAGCAGTGAAAGAGCCAGACGCGTCGCTGAGACTGAAAGGGATGAGCTCCAAGAGGAACTGAATAATAATGCGAATAAGGGCACGATTCTCGTCGATGATAAACGCCGCCTCGAAGCCAGAATCGCCACGCTCGAGGAGGAACTCGAAGAAGAACAGTCGACAAATGAGGTTTGACCTATGATTGGTGCATAATGCATCATATTTAAATTTAATTGAATTTCGTGTCTTATTTTAAAATTGAATTGTAGGTTCTCATGGATCGCGGGCGAAAGGCACAGCTGTCGATTGAACAGCTAACCACGGATCTACAAACCGAGCGCTCGGCGGCTCAGAAAATCGAATCACATCGTTCACTGCTCGAACGTCAAAACAAAGAGCTCAAAGCCAAACTTGCCGAGCTTGAGACAGCCCAGCGTGCCAAGTCCAAGGCCACGATCCAAGCACTCGAGAGTAAAATTAACAATCTGGAAGAACAAGTGGATACAGAGACGAAAGAAAGGTTTGCACAGCAAAAGATCAACAGAAAGTTGGACAAGAAGGTGAAAGAGCTTATGTTGCAAGTCGAAGATGAGAGAAGAAATGCAGAGCAGTACAAGGAACAAGTCGAAAAAGTCAACGTGAGGATGAAGAGCCTCAAGAGACAGCTTGACGAAGCTGAAGAAGAGATCAGTAGGCACAAGGTGTCAAAGAGAAAACAACAGAGAGAAATGGAGGACATGTTGGAATCGCAGGAGGTGCTCACGAGAGAAGTCGCGAATTTGAAAAACAAACTCAGGTGAAATTTTTTTTTTTATTTTACCATAGGTGTTGACTGCCAATTTTAGGGCTAATTTTTTTCTGAAACTTATTTATCTGCTTCTCTACATACGTCTTATCATTCATTATTCATCGTCGCAGTGAATTAGACACAAAGACCCACACCAGTAGGCCACTGGGCTCCTCATATCGTGGCCGCTGGAAAGATGAAATTATTCATTCACTCAATGTGTAGGTATTGCGTGACCCCGAAAGCAACCAAACGTTAGTCTCACACTAAAATTTCGTTTTCCTGTCTAACGTTTTTTCTTCCTTAATAGCATGGAGCTGCATTACAGAATTTTCTACTAATAGTACAATGTATTTATGCAGTTGTGAAATTACTCATATCTAACATATGTGATTTTTATTAAGTTCTTAGCTTCGATGATGATTTTACTGAAATTGTCAAGCAAAACAGTAAACATCCTATTCATTGTTAAAAATAATTACAGACGTGGCGGACAGCCGATCAGCGGGCTGGGAGCTTCGAGATTAAAACGCACGTCGATTCAGACCGGTGGCTCTGGGGACGACTCAGCAACACAGGACGAGAGTATAGACGGTGAGGAGAACGCTAATTGAAGTATCATAATTTAGTGGAACAATCTCGAGGATCGGCAAGGACGGCGCGCGACAACGCATAATATATATAATACATAAAGATATATCGTCCGGCGTCATGAATAACAAGTTGGAAAAAATATATATATATACATAAAACAAGATAAGGCTTCCAGGGTAAAAGAAAAAGAAAGACAGATAAAGAGAAAGGGATGATTAATAAAGAAAATGTATGGGAAACGCGTGATTCCCTCGTGAAAAGAAAGATCATACATATTATAGGGAGCAATGTGATTGACCGGTGGAAGCAGTTTCTGTTACTCTTCCTGCTCTTCTACCGTCTAAGAATAATAACACAATTATTATTACGTCATTAATACTAGTTTCCTGAGATGCCATCGCACGAATGTGTAAAATGAAAAAAAAATTACGGATACCGATCGAGAAAACGTGGAAAGGAAGTTTTAAAAAAATAATAATAATTAAAGATATGGTCATGTACATAAATTTGCAATCACACTGATGAAGGATTACGTGAGACCGTAGAACGGTTTTAATGACTTACGGTTTTGAGACGTGCGCGTAAGATGAAGAGGTTCTTGCTATGAGATACTATAATAAACATAAAAAATGCAAACTTTGTAACACACTTAGGTAGTAACTAAGACATTTATTACTATTTTTAATATCATTACGTTATGTTTACTATTACGTTTAATTACAAACTACCATCTAACAGCGTCTATATCTATGCATTATCGCAGTTTATTAAAAAATAAATCAAACAATGAAATTTATTTTCAACTATTAAGTTTGATTTTCAAGGATAAATACAAGAGACAGCAAAATATAATGTTAAGAAGCTACGTTTAAATGGACCGATACATCGTGAAGAGTTCGCATTGTGACTTTATTTGGCCGTTTGGTGCTTTTTAATACTGTATCTTTTTTCTTGGCGAGAAATAGACAAAAATCATGTTGCTTTGCGCTTATGTTTATGTTTGTGGAAAAAAAAAAGAAAAAAAAAAAAAAAAAAAAAAAAAAAATGAAAATGATTTTGCTTTTGCCTTGTAATCCAGCAAATTAAAGTTACTTAACGCCACTATTCTCGCGTTGTACTTAAGCTTTTATAGTTTTCTTCGGTCGCTAACGCGTTGCATCTTTGGAAATGGAACGCGTATTAATTTTTTTGTGTATGATAAAAAAGGGGTGGGTAAAATTTTTCAATGGCTGTACATCTTCATATAACAAAATCTAATACGTAAGCTAAAGACATATGAACACGAGATGCACTGACTTATATAAAAGAATTTCAATAAATGGAAAGTTCATTGACTGCCATAAAGATAATCCTCAGAACGTCAATTCTCGCATGTCCGATTTTATACGAGCATTTTAACAAAATTCTTTGTATTTAAAAAAGCATTTACAATTTTTTTTACACCGTATATATAAAGAAACTCGTGGAAATTTACAAATGTATGTATGTACGTATGAACAAATAGACTCTAATGTAACTCGAAAGACTATAGTATATTTTTTGATGCAACTAATGTTGGCGAGCGCATTACTACTTTTTTGTGCGAGCACGAGATAACTGTAATCTAGGGCCTTATTAATCGAAACATAAAAAATATAAATAATAGCTATCGACCCAATGGAATTTTGCGTAACGTTTGCAGGACCGTCTAATTCGAGAGCCTCAAATACGGTGAAAAAATATATATCACTATAATTTTGTATATATACATGAATTTTGTGTTAGTGTGCTACTGATTCTGGAATATTTTTTTTCTTTTAATCATTGGTGTAATCTACTCAGATCAAGTACTTTTATATGCTTTTTGTGAGTTTTATTTTATCTGTCAAATAATACATTCGATTTGATAAGTTAATTTCTTTTAGTTTTCACAATTTTTTTTTAAAACTTCGAGGGCAAAAAAAATACGATGCACACAAGAAGTATAGAAAGTTAACTTGAAGTGAAATTTTAAAGTAATGGGATCAGTGAGTTTTGATACCTTTTATGTTTGATCGATTACAGACAAATAAATACGCAATCGCACGCGCGCGCAGATTATACAATTGGATCTTTCATAAATATACATATAAATATATATAAATATATATANCGTAACCACTCGACGACGATATTGCTGCTGGTGATGCTCATTGTCCGCCCGACGTCATCGTCGCCACGGCCGTCGTCCTCCTCCTCCTCCTCTTACTCCTCTCCGTAGCGCAGCTCCCAGCCAGCAACGACAGCCCCGAGCTAGCCGGCTGGCAGCGGTGTCGTCGTCGTCGGGCCTGCAAATGCTGGACCATCAGCAGCGTCGTCAGCGGTAGCAGCAACAGCAACAGTCAGCATGACAGCCGTGCACCCGCTAACTCGCTCGCCCCCTGGCGATGGTGTTGCTCGGAGCAACTTGCTCCTCCCGCTCCTGAGAGAGGAGCTGATGCTGCACACGCGATGGAGATGATGACGAGAGAGAGAGAGAGAGAGAGAGAGAAAGATCGGAGATATATTACATAGGGGCACTATGTATAGGCACTGATGGGTACAAGGTAGATAGGATGATTATGGGGTAGTTTTGCACGTCGCATACACACGTAGACACGTAGGGGCAAGCGCGAAGCACGTGCACACACGTATATATTATAGGTATAAGTACGCGATGGCCGTGGTTCAACGGGGCCGCGGGGGCAGCCGTCGCCCGTCACGCACGTTCCTCGTCAACAGGATCGCGGTCCATCTCCGCATCGGTGGCTCATCTGCTCTCGAAGCAAAGTATATATAACTCTCAGCTCCCAGCTTCCAGCATCAACATTCAACATCAGCTCATCTTTTATTTCTTTACTTTCGAGCACAGTATAATACACCTACCCTGCCCAACACACCTATCATGTGCACACAGACACACTACACTGCGCACCCTTTATTATTATTATCCGGACTCCGAAACTCCGAAAGCGGCGACACAGCGGCTCCTTCAGAGGGTCTTTCAGACGGAGAGACTCTTTTTTTTCTCCTCTCTCTCTTTCTCTTTCTCTTTCACAGATGTGTGTGTATAATATATATATATATATATATATATATATACACCTATAGGTACTTTTATGTCAAATATAAAAGGTGTCAGTTATCCAAGTCTGGTCTAAGTGGCAAATCGAAAACTGAAACAAATCACGTGACTAATAATTATTAATTACCAAACATCAGAAATTACGGTGATTTTTTAATGTTCAGGCAGTCGCGCGGCAATCAGACCATAAATACTTTACCAGGATATCTTGCTACGTCATTGTTACAGTATATGCATTAGTATTCTTAACCTATAGTATATTTGTTGCTAGTGTAAGTAAGAATAACTTACATCGTCTCTGGGATCAACTGGTACTTTCAAGGATAGTAAATGACTGACCAGCTCGTCGTGTCCACCTAGAGCTGCCCAATGTAGTAACGTTCTTTCGTTCTATAGGAAACAGGTTAGGTCTCTTAGTTTAATTAGTGCTTTTATTTGCTTAAACAACTTATCCATTTCATTTCACGCACTTCGTCCACTTGTAGCTTGAGATTCTCGTTTTGAGCTAGAAGAGCTTTGAGGGTTGATACCTGGCCATGATAAGCCATATCAAAAGCTTTTTTTGCATCAGTACCGGCTTTTGACATGTTTACTGTTTACCTAATGTATTAGTGCGGTAGTGGCTGTATTCCGCAAATGCTGCCAGAATTAAGTTATACGTAGGTCGTGGTAACGCCGCATGGTCGGGCGGTGTAGCGACCTATAGCGTCAACCTGTACTAACTAGGTTTGTTCATTTATCCACCTTGGAGCGCTCCAAGGTGGATAAATTTAAGCTGTACTTATTCCGCAAATGCTGCCAGCAGTTATGTTACGCAGCCAGTGAAAGCCCCGGGTTGTGTGGGGATTGGCGCTTGTGTTATTATTTTATTCATCATAAATAATCAAAGCAACCAGTAAGCGCCCCGGGTTGTGTGGGGATTGGCGCTTGTGTTGTTATTTTATTTTATCATTAATTACGTTGTTTTGTTTACTACCTATGCAGATATATGGTTAAGGAAGTATATTATAATCACTAATCAGTCGTCTGCAGTATTACTATATAAAACGACCTTAGTTTATTGATTGGTCGGTGGTGGCGTTGAAATCAGAGGCTGTCAGAGATTGAGAGATAATTCACATTTCACATTCACATAGACATTTTTTGCTTATTTCATTGTGAACGTTCGTATTGAAAAGGGGGTTCCACTGTTCCGCTAAACTCAAATTGAGTGAACAGACTGAACAGACCTATACTGTGTTCTCTGTCAGTCAACATAGTTGCGACCATAGGCTTTGTTGCCTGATGCAAAAAGAGGTATAGGTCTGTTCAGTCTGTTCACTCAATTTGAGTTTAGCGGGACAGTGGAACCCCCTTTTCAATATGAATGTTCACAATGAAATAAGCAAAAAATGTCTACATGTGAATAGCTCCAGAGATGTGCTTTGAAGTAACTGTATATGTGTAGGAGTCTTGATCAACTACTTGAGAGAGAAAAAGGTGTTTCGTCCCGGGAGCACGCCAGGACTCATCAGTGAGGCTGATGACGTGCTCCCTACCTTAGAGATGTGAGACGCCTATATACTTACTTATGATAGAGCCATGTAATCGATTATAAACCAGCCGCAATTTTTCTTGTAGATTTGGATTAAAAAGTTGACGTTGTCTTCTATTTGTGGCAAGTAAATAATCTATCTTTTAGCCAGTGAATAGCTCGACTCGAGCTTGCAGTACAACGGGAAGTCGATATATTTTAAAAGAGACTCGATCCTCGAGTAAGTACAGTCATTTTTTTATTGAATAGAGCTTCAAATGAAACGTTATTTTCAGATCGATTTCTTTTAAACTTGCATTGATTGTTGAAATTATGTGGTTTTCTTGAAAAATTTTAATGTTATTTTATTGTTAGCAAATAATATTTATTCATAAGTGTGACTCATTGTTTTAATAACATTATCAACACGAATATTTTTTGATGAAGTGTTTCGATGATTTGTTGAATTAAATTTTAACGTTTAATTAGTAAAAAGTCTCATTAAAAAAATACTCGATAAGTATTATTTGTTGAATTCCCTTATACACAACAACGATGTTCAATGTATTTACCTACTATTGTTTGTGCAGATACAATTTTATATGATAAAGCTACTGTATGTTTACGTGAGTGAGCAGTAGTGTGGGTACACACAGGGTACTAAAGGTAAACCACGTGAATAACATAGTGATTGTATGTAAACTGTGTGTTTATAAGAGAGTAAGAGAGATACATCAGAGAAAAAGGAGGAAGAGGGTGGTGTTGATAAGAAGTAAAAATGACAACTTGCTTCTCTGATATCATTATATCCACAAGGAACATTGTATATTGTACTTTATACGCACTTTTATGTACAATTTATAACTGACACTTACAAATTATCAATTTTACATTGAACATTTTACATGATATATCGACTATTAAATATGTACAATATTTTACAACTGTAAACATCACATTGATAATAAGTGCTTTGTGCAGCACATGCACATAGGCGTTTGTCTACATCCTTTTATACTTATCGCGTCTTTCGTCTTACACTTTGACAGGCATTTCAGTCATCATCATCTTTATCATTGCACACTACTTATTTCTCTCACAATTTGATCCTCTGTACGATCTTGCTTTGGTTTATTCTGTATACATTCTATCTAGATAGAGTCAAAAAAATCCGAGTTTTTGTAAAACAATTGTTTGGTCAGTACAATAGTAAAACAAAAAAAAATTACACAACCGAATACACGGATTGGAAAAAAGAAGCAACATTTACAGATGGACACGAAGAGTTGTAATCAAAAAGTAATCACTCGTTGGCTGCTTCTACATCGCTCTGTTGCTGCTGCTGCTCCTCTTGTTCGCTCTTCTCGTCTTTGACGACGCCATTATACCAGTGCAGCGAGTGGCGTTCGATGCATTTCCGCACAGCTTCGAGAATTATGGGGATACGGCGATCGAGCGCCTCCAAATGTGGCTCCCACAGCACCGGGGCCACAGGGTCCTTGGCTAAGCTCTCTCGCATCGCGTTGCTCAGTCTTACCGGTCCGTTGTGATACCTATAAACAAAAATAATCAATTAGTAATAGTCTGAAATTGTTCTGATGCATCAACGTAAGTAATTGATATACAATACGTAGGTATATTATGGTAATCTCTGAAACACTTTGAATGAAAGTAAATAACGCGTTGGGCGCATACCGTGGCACCGATATAATATATAATTATCATATTCATCGCGCTCGGAAAATTCAAATTACCTCACGCCCTGAACTTGAAACTGCGTAAGTGTACCTGTAAAAGTTTGTCGAATAAATAAAAGCGAAGAACGTGCAAATTTCTCGAGCGTCATTTTGCAGACTAGGTGCAAGTACTATGTAATGAGAATAATTATAATATACACTTGTATGAATATTAAGGAGTCGACGCGACGCGCATCAGTTTTAAAGAGCTACTAGTTCTCGGCATGCACTTGATGTACTTATACCTACTCTCACCACTGCCTTGATTACTATAGCTTTTATTATTACCGGCCATATAATAATATAAGCAAAACAAGTTGCCACGAGCAGAGGATCAGGGTGCTTAGATCAAGAGGACGGAAAGGTAGATAGGTATGTAATAATAATAATGTTACGTGGAATAGCTAGAGGTATAAGGCAACTTGGTGTGTATTGTATGTATTTTATAGCCCCAATAACCGTACAAAGGTAGGTAGGTATAAAACATATATATATATATACATTTACCTCAAGAGCGTGGCTAGGGTACTCTGGCGAATCATGCAACATTGCAGCAAGGGCGACAAACAGCTGATCTCGTCTTGGTAGGGCTTGCCGAAGCCACGGCCGTTGTCGAGGTGGAGGGTAAAGGTGTCGTTGCCAAAGATCTTGAAGGTCTCGTAGTGGTGGCGGTCCATGTTGCCGGTGAGAAAGTCAAAGACCGACATGTCTATCAGATCCAACAGGCGCCGGCCCTCATCGTAAGGCGGATGCTTCTTCACGCTCGCGCAGTAGTCCGAGTCTGGGTTTATTGCACGGTATTTTATATTTACATACATACATGTACGGATTTAAATGTCAATGGCCACTTGGGTTTTGTACCCTACTACCGGCCCCTCTCTCTATTTCATTTATTTACAAATGCAAATGTCAGCTTCTTTTCTATTGTTCGGCTGTATATTGGCCGGTGCTCATGACGCGACGTGGACGCGGGTTTGAACAAAAGTCGTAAGTATTGCCACGGAAACTCGAAACTAATTTTTGCTTCACTGGATCACGAAACGGTGATATATATATTTTTTTCTTTTATTAGTCGAAACAATACGTAGGTATATATAATTATTTATACACCGAACACGAACACTGATCCACGTGTATAAGACGGAAAATTGTATGACGATGACCGGAGGACTTTGACGTTCTCGACTAATTGATCCGAGCAATTATTTTTACGGTTCTTAATGCACCTCCTACAAGTAGACGCGAGCAATTAACGTTCCTGAAACGTATACCTAATAGTAGTTTATTACGGTTGACCCGATTCAAATTGAGGGGAAAAAAAGCCTAATAATCATAGCATTTGTTTGTGATGTGCAATGTTTTTGTTTTTTTAATCGTTACTTCGGCACTTTACTTATATAAATGTATACAACATAGTGCGCCCCAATGGAAGCGCTTCCCTTACGTAAGCCCGACTCGTTATCGTTAGTAGGTATACACACAATTTATTATACCACTCCAATTGGTTATAACGACGACGGATTGTATGTGTGTGTGCCCGGAGTATGTAAGGACGTCTCTTGGCTCGATGTGGTGCATCGAAAGATTAACGAACAGTAAATAATAGGTAATAACAACAAAAACAAGGATGATAATGAGAAACGGGATCGTAATAGTATATATATATATATATATATATATATACACCTATAGGTACTTTTATGTCAAATATAAAAGGTGTCAGTTATCCAAGTCTGGTCTAAGTGGCAAATCGAAAACTGAAACAAATCACGTGACTAATAATTATTAATTACCAAACATCAGAAATTACGGTGATTTTTTAATGTTCAGGCAGTCGCGCGGCAATCAGACCATAAATACTTTACCAGGATATCTTGCTACGTCATTGTTACAGTATATGCATTAGTATTCTTAACCTATAGTATATTTGTTGCTAGTGTAAGTAAGAATAACTTACATCGTCTCTGGGATCAACTGGTACTTTCAAGGATAGTAAATGACTGACCAGCTCGTCGTGTCCACCTAGAGCTGCCCAATGTAGTAACGTTCTTTCGTTCTATAGGAAACAGGTTAGGTCTCTTAGTTTAATTAGTGCTTTTATTTGCTTAAACAACTTATCCATTTCATTTCACGCACTTCGTCCACTTGTAGCTTGAGATTCTCGTTTTGAGCTAGAAGAGCTTTGAGGGTTGATACCTGGCCATGATAAGCCATATCAAAAGCTTTTTTTGCATCAGTACCGGCTTTTGACATGTTTACTGTTTACCTAATGTATTAGTGCGGTAGTGGCTGTATTCCGCAAATGCTGCCAGAATTAAGTTATACGTAGGTCGTGGTAACGCCGCATGGTCGGGCGGTGTAGCGACCTATAGCGTCAACCTGTACTAACTAGGTTTGTTCATTTATCCACCTTGGAGCGCTCCAAGGTGGATAAATTTAAGCTGTACTTATTCCGCAAATGCTGCCAGCAGTTATGTTACGCAGCCAGTGAAAGCCCCGGGTTGTGTGGGGATTGGCGCTTGTGTTATTATTTTATTCATCATAAATAATCAAAGCAACCAGTAAGCGCCCCGGGTTGTGTGGGGATTGGCGCTTGTGTTGTTATTTTATTTTATCATTAATTACGTTGTTTTGTTTACTACCTATGCAGATATATGGTTAAGGAAGTATATTATAATCACTAATCAGTCGTCTGCAGTATTACTATATAAAACGACCTTAGTTTATTGATTGGTCGGTGGTGGCGTTGAAATCAGAGGCTGTCAGAGATTGAGAGATAATTCACATTTCACATTCACATAGACATTTTTTGCTTATTTCATTGTGAACGTTCATATTGAAAAGGGGGTTCCACTGTCCCGCTAAACTCAAATTGAGTGAACAGACTGAACAGACCTATACTGTGTTCTCTGTCAGTCAACATAGTTGCGACCATAGGCTTTGTTGCCTGATGGAAAAAGAGGTATAGGTCTGTTCAGTCTGTTCACTC